CTTTTCTAGGTCCTTTGTACTCCTACATAACTTTTAAATTTCAATATCCAATTCTTCATTTATAGCAAGTATACATAGATCTGAATTTTTATATATACTTTGTGTTTTCAAATCCTGCTAAATTCAAAGTTCTTTGGGCTCCTAGAAATTTCTTAGTATTTTCTCTGTAGATGATCATTTCATCTACATATAAAGATTTTACTTCTATCTTGCCAATCCTTTGCTAATTATTTCTTTTTATTGCCAGACTGTTTTGGTTTGGGCCTAATGGACAGATGAAAAGTAGGCTTATTTGCCCTTGTTCCCCACCTTAGGGAGAAAGCATTGTTATCTTTTCCATTCATATAAAGTGTTTTTGCTGGAAGTATGGAGTACATGTCTTATCTGTTGAGAAGATCTGTTCTACTTCTAGTGTCTTGATAGCTTTTACCATGAATAGCTGTAGAATTTAGTCCAATACTTTTTCTCCAACTAGTGACAGGATCATATGGCGTTTTCCTTTCCTCTGTTAAAATGATGACTTATGGGAGGGAGTGTATCTTCCAGTGCTGAACCAACACTGTCATCCCTATAATAAAACCACTTTCTACATACTACCAGGTCTAACTTCTAATAGTTTGTTTTGTTAAACAAATTTTTTTGTATGTTCATACTTTTTTCTTCTATAATCTTTATCCAGTTTCAGTATTACCATAATGTTGATTTTCTAAAATGAGGGGAGAAATGTTCCTTTCTTTTTTGCTTTAAATGTTTGATATAATTCATCAGTTAAAGTGCATATGAGCCTGTTGTTGTCATATAGCTAGGTCTCCCAGCTAGGACTATACTTTCCTTAATAGGTGCTATTTGAATTTTTTATTTCCTCCAGAGTTAGTTTCATTAATTTGTCTTCCAAGGTACTTTTTAGAAGTTGTCAAATTTATTTCAAAAAATTTTTGTAATATGCTTTCTATATCCTTTTAAATTCTGTAAAATATGTGGTAATGTGCTCTAAATTTTGATTTTGTAATTACAAATGTTTAATTGATATTGTGTAATAGGAAGAAAACCTATAAAGGAGTAGGGGAAGTGGGAGGGGTAGGGGAAAGGAAAGAAGGGAAAAGAAAAAATATGAGAAAAAAATGGAAACATAGTCTTTGCAAATAGGGAAGGGTATAGGGGGTGAAGGGAGGGCAGGGGAAGGGGAAAAAAGAACCAAAATACATCATGTAAAGGTACAAGATCCCAATGATGAAGGTAAATGTATTGTATATTTAAAATGTACCAGTAAACTTAATGGGAAAAAAATCTATGATTTTGTAATCTAAGTATTATTGCTTAAGGTGTGTCTAATTTTAAACTCACAAAGGATTTTACTAGTAGTTGCCTGTGAGAAGTTAGCAAAGCTTTGATAGATATTATAGAATATTTTGAAGTCCACATCATAACCAAGAAGTAATGCTTAAACCAAACATTATTAATGTCAGTCCCACATATTATTGCTATAATTTAGAACAGAATTTCTTCTGCACTTGTGGATCTCTAGGGTATGGGGAAATGTAGAAATATAGACATCTACTCATCAAAGTAGCATAACATTTAAATCTAACATGAACATGTCTTATTGTAAGTTTTTATAAGAATGGTAACCAAGCAAAATTCCTAGTAAATGAAATATCCTAGTCAGTGATGACGAACCTTTTAGAGCTTTTAATATTACAAACACCTGCTACAGGACTTGTGCTGTAGATTAGTCACCCCTGGCTGAGATTATCGACTATGAGGCAGAGGAAATAACATTTCCTTACATTCTTTAAGGAACACTACACAATATATCAATATTATCAATAGTCTTTCCATACCTCAGTAACAGCGAAACTTCTCTTGCCACAGGGAACCACCTTGTACCACTTGTCATGCAGCACATCCATAAACCCATGTGATTTGTATTGACTGATTAACTCGGATATATTGGAGGTCAGTGGAGAGTTGGGTGGGAGACCAATGCCATATCCTAGGAGAAAATATAATCTCACATGAGTTTTTCACATGGTTCCTGAGAGGTTTCCACCATACTTGTGTGATATTGTCATCAGGTCTGATAACAAGGGCATGGTGAAATTGCACTATCTTTCCTTCAGAGGACTCAAAGACGTTCTTAGGAATGATTTTCCATAGATCAGCTGTATCTCTGAGAGGATGAGATGAGTCTACAAAGGAGACTGAACAGTGCACAGTGTAGTAGTGAACAGTTTATTTCAAGCCTTTTACTCTTCCCTTCAAAATATGTTTTAGAAGCAATCTTTCAGATCTTTATCAGGAATAGGGGTTTTAAGTACACAAAATTAGTTTAATAATAATACACAGTTTATGACATTCTTTTATTGTTAGTACATGAGCTTCTTTTAATTTTTTGATTTATTTTATTTTGTTGATTTTTGAATAATGAAATAAGACCACGTGAATATATAATACAGCATGAAAACTAAAATATCATTAAAAACTTATAATAACTAACTTTAATTGTAAAACAAAAAGTCTGGTAATATCAAGTGTTGGAGAAGATGCGGATCAATAAGATCATGTATATATTGCTTGTTGGAATACAAATTGATATACCATTTAGGAAAACAGTTTGATATTATTTTGTACAGATGAACGTTCAAATACTTTAAGGCTAGCAGTTTTGTTCTTAAGTATATTTCCAAAGAAATGCTTCACAGATACACCAAGAGATACAGTTAAAAATGTTGTTAGGGGCACTGTTCATAATAAAAAAAATTGAAAACAACTCAATTATTCTTTAACAAGGGAATGAGTAAATAAATTGTGGAATATTTATATAACTAGAATATGATATAATGTAAAATATATGAACTAAAACTAGATGCAATAATATGGATGACTCAGCATTATGCTATTTAGTGAAAAACTCCACACTGAGTTGGTACTAAAAGATTATTTATGCCAAGAATATACTGTATAAATGTAAAAACATTTAAAACCATGTACCATGTTTTTGGAAATACATATGTATGTGATGAAACTATACTTAGAAAAATACAAAGATATGATAAATTAAAAACTCAAGATTTTATACAAGGCACAGGAGGCAAGGCAAGGAATGAAGAAAGAGCAAAATGATGGATATAATTTGTTTTCATTTGTATTAATTAGCTTAGACTCTGAATCCTCACACTATATGACTTTACTTGCTTTCCAAATTGTTATGACACTGTTAATCTCGTTGATAGGCATGTGAAAAAGGCTAATTAACTGCATCTTGTTCTAACTATTGAATAGCAGGGTCAAAAAAATTTTTTTTGCCCTCGAGATGGTTGAGAAAGATAAAGTAAAAATGCAATTAGTTCCCTTTTTACAGATAAAGACTAAAAGGCTGTTAAGGATCTAAACACACTGAACAAAAACAAATATTTGCAATAATTACTCAATCTTACAACTCAATTGCAAGGATCTTAGTTTATGTTCCTTTCTTAATGCAGATAAATAAATCTTTTTAAAAAATGAGGCTTATGATGTAAGTATAACTGATGAAAGAGTAGAAATAAATAATGCCAAACAATTTTTCAGTTTTAAAGAATTGTACGTTTTTTTCCCTGATAACTTTATTTGTTCCTCAACAATGGACAGTCAAGGAAAAGATGACAATGTCAAAAGCATAATTACAATTTTCCATTCAAAGAGCTATTTTGAGTGCCTGTTTTGAGCCTAGTAGTTTTCATTTGAAAGGCAAGACTGATAATAAAAGACTTTGGATGGGCAGCTTTTTGTTCTGCTGATGTTATCCATTAAATAACATTTTTAAAATAATGGGTAACATTTTGAAAGGAAGTTGCCAATTTTCTTTAGAAACTTATAATGAATTCTCTTGACAATTTGTTTGCATAAACATTTATTCAGTACTTAGTATTTAGGAAGAATACTAGGCACCTGTGTAATCATTCTCAAGGATCCACTGACTCACTCATTCATTCATTCATGTATCCAACAAGTACTTTATTAAGCAGAAAGACATTGTGCCATGTGGTCAAGATTTAACCAGAGAAAGGCAGAGATGGGCTCTGCTGTCATGGTACTATAGCAGTGATGGCAAATCTTTTAGTGCTTTCAATGATAACAAACAGCCGCTGCAACACGTGTGCCATAGGTTTGACACCACTGCCTGCGGAGTAAGATTAAACACTGCACTGAATAGTAACTATTATTTTATTACCATTGAAAAGGGTGCCATGAGGGAGAAGAGCTGAGACATGCAAAGTGATGGTATAGGAGGACTGGGAACTATCAGGCAGAAGTGGGTTAGTGGTTAGAATAATTAATTTGGGTCAGTTTGTTAAATATTAATGTGCTTTCCTCCTGGACCAATAGTTCTCAACAACAACAATTTCTAGTATGTATTGAGGGCTTGCTATAGTTCAAGTACTGTTCTTTAATAAGCATTTTTGCATACTTTCTTCCATTTTGTAAATCATGCATTAGGCCAAAATTGTTTACTCAACTGTAGCATACAGTTTAGTGAAATCACCCTGAGATTCTAATAATTAAAAACTAGGATATTCACAGACCTACTGTATGCCAGAAGCTACTCTACATGTATCCTTACATGAACCCATGCCAGAGTAAATTTCATGGAGATTGAAGATTGAATGAGGAAACTGCCAATGTCACTCAGTAGTAGTTGGCAAAGCCAGTATTTGAAAGTAGGTCTTTCTGATACTAAAAGCAATACTCCTTCTACTACATCCATTACAAGTCAAGAGAATCCTTAATCTATGCCCTCTCCTTCAGGATGGGCCTTATCACTATAACCATGTCAAAATAATACCCCCAAGTCAGGTAATTTATTAGAAAAAAAGCACAAAAATCAAAACAGGTGGTTCATTTTCAGCAGACACAAATATATACTATTCACAAGGAGATTTTGTTTATAAATTTTTTAGTAAGTGGTGTGGATATAGTGTAAGAACAGCCTGAACTTGTGTATGATTATATATTGCAGGAAATTCACTAGCAAGGACCTTCATTAATTAGTATTGTTCTCCCAAAAATCCTTTTAAAGCTAGTAATTTCAACTACACACACCTGGCATAATAATGGCAGAAATATTTTCATTTTCATTTAATATCATTTATTGAATTCCTAGTCATCTATTCACTTGTTGCACAAATGTGTTTAATGCTTATTCAGTGCCAGACACTGCCAAGTGTTACAGAGGTTACTAAGCTAAATTAAACACAGAACCTATCTGTATGGGGCTCAGGGTAGCCTGAGGAGATGTAGCATACATTGATAACTAGATAACATGGTATTAAGTTAATAACTTTTCTTAGAAATAAAGAAGGCTGAAGCATAAATTAAATATAGGTAATATATAACAACTAAGACATAAAAAGGAGAACATAAAATTCTGCAGAAGTTCAGAGGAAAACAGATTGCTACAAAATGAGTGAGAGAGAGAGAGGCATCTTTGATTCTTACTAGTAATATTTTGGTGGATGGGACAAACATGATAAGAAAGTTTGAAAACTGAAAAGTAGTACTTATGATAAATTTACATAGTCTAACAATAGAATTTTGATGCCATAACAAAAGTATTAAAATTCCCTTAAGGTAAAATCTATATTGAAGTGGCAGAGACATTTACAAAAAATTGCTACATAAGAAATAATAAATATTAAACCACTCTACTCCATCATGCCTAGGTTAATTTGCAGTTGGCTGCCAAAAGTAGATTTCTAGCTTTTTAATTTTCTATTTTAATACATGTATTAGATACTGATATTTTAATTATTTCTAGTGTTAATTATTAGTTAATGAAAACAAACTGCACACTGCAATGAGGGGAGAAACGGGAGAAACTTATGTGGCAATGAGAAAAGATAGCTATTAAAAGATATAGAAATCCATTTTATTCAGAAACAAAATAGTAAAACGTGAAGATATCACTTCCATCCCTCTGTTTTATCAGTTGCTTTTAAATTTGATTGTGTTCATTGGTCAAATAATTCTTACATTTAAATTGCTGACTCAACTTAGCCAGAGTTGCTTTCATTATCTTTAGAAATGTAGCTTTGCAATAAAGACCAGGTTGACTATTTTGTGGTTGATGGATGAAGCAAAATGGAATCCTTCAACTCTACAGATGAAAGCATCAGGCACCTTGGAAATTGGATACAGCTTAATAGCCTAAGAGAACAATTTTCTGAATAGAATCCTGATCTTTTCCCCATGGAAAAATCAGCATTATTCAGCTAAGAGTAATGGAAATATATTTTGGTTAGCAAATGTATAGTTAGACATTCATAGAATAAAAGAATCTGCCTGAAATGTGGTTAGAACATAGGTTTTAAAAATAAGATCGCAGATAGGGTTAACAAGGCTTCAAAAAATTATTCAGTTTTGCAGTTAGTTCTCAGAGTACCATATTTATCTACTCTGGGACAATGGTTGAGAACATATTGTAATGGTCCCAATTGCAAGAAGGACTTTAAAAATGCCCCTCCCCCCCACCCCCACCATATTGGGAAGAGAAGGGTCTGGGGGAATCTGAGATCTATGAAAGCTACCCTGGGAGAATTTTGTAGTACATGGGTCTCAATTTATTAATTAACATACTGAATAATAATACTTTATTGAGTATTTCCTATGTATCAGGCATGCTTCTATATGCTTTGCATGCATTATTTCACTTAGTCCTCGTGACAACTTTATCATAGATGTACTATTCATATCCTCATTATGCACATGAGGAACTGATTAAGAAATTTTCCAATTAGTGATGGTAATTCTAATCCCAGACTCCAGACTAGTGCTCTAATCTAGCCCCCAGACTCCAGAGCTAGTGCTCCAAGTACTGTATTAAATAATTAGTAGAAAATAAATTGTCCAGGTGGGACTTGAACTTGCAATCCTCTTGCCTTAGCTTCCCAGAGTACTGGGATTACAGGCATGTGCCATCATGACTAGCTTCTTGAATTAATAGTTTTTTTTGATTTGCTCTGCTGTGTATTTTTTTTTTTTTTTTGGTTTCTCTGTGTATTTTTAAGTGGAAAAGAAGACTCATGAAATGATTTCAAACTCAACATGGAGTCACAGAAATCACTCTCTCACTGTCCTTACTTTACTTTTTAAACCTAAATAATTGCAGAAGTTGTAAAGTTGGTAGGGGTATTTATTACTTATATTAGTCCGTTTAGTCTGCTGTAACAAAATACCAAAGGCTGGCTACATCATAAACAACATACACTTATTTCTCACGGTTCTAGAGGATGAGAAGTCTAAGATCAAGGCTTCAGCAGATTCAGCGTCTGGTGAGGCCCTGCCTTGGGGTTCATGGATGTCTTCTAGCTGTGGAAGGGGTGGGTGAACTCCCTCAGGGCCATTTTATAAGAGCACCAATGCTGTTTCATAAAGGTTGAGCCCTCATGATCCAATCACCTCTCCTAAAGCCCCACTTCCACCATCAATCACACTGGGGATTAGTTTGCAGCATAAGAATTTCAGGTAGGATGCAAACATTTAGAGAATAGTGCAGTCATACTAAATTAGAGTGCTAATAACTACACAGAATGGATATATGAGTATGTCCAGGTTGAAGGAATAAATAAACCCTGTTTTCTTTCCTATCTAAGTTCTAGACATCATTTAAACACTTAGGCAAGTATGTGCAAATTATCAGGATATTTTTGATTAACCACTTTAATAAGTGAACTAAGTACTTATTTCAAATTTAAAGTAATGAGTTACATAATGAGTATTACATGATTTATTAGATATTTGTTATATGCCTAACATTTCACTAGATCCTGTGATGGGATATAGAGTAAGTATATGCAACAACATTCCTGTAAGTTAAATGGGCAAAAATTAGTCATAAATTGCTTTAATTTTTTTTACACTTATATAGTCTCACTTAACAATAAAGCACAGATTTTTAAGTTCAAAAGACCTAAATATCAAAGAAAAACATATAAAATTTTTGTTAAATTTACTTAAAAAATTAAAGAAAATTTATTAGGAAATATTTCCCCCAAATCTTTGAGATTAATAATTTTTAAAAAAATCAAGAATGAAGCCTTTAGTTCTTTTTTTGTTGCTGTTGTGCATAATGTATAACCATTCTCTTTGTTTTTCCAAGTTCGTTTTGTAGGTTTTGAACTTTTGTAGGTTGTTCACAGGGGCTACTATTAAATTGAGTTTTCTGATTTGCACCCCATGCGTTCTAAGTCTAGACTGACTTCCAATGATGATTATGCTTTCTCTATTAAATCTGCAGTCTTCCTGGTGTCTTCCAGGAAGACATGTGCCATTCCATGTGACATTTTGTATTTATTTGCTTTGAGAACAATGTGGTATCTAGAGATGATAGGAACTGTAAAACACTAAGTCTCACCAGCACAGATGGAAATGCAAACAGGAAACCAGTGGGGAGCTAATTGTGTGGCATCTGGCACAGAGGTCCAGCAGAGGCAAATAAACCATCTTACCACTGCCTTTTGATAAGATAGGGTTGTCCTTTGGAGACAAAGGCAGAAAACGGAGCCCCTCATTCTTCTGCCCTCTACAAATGATTCATTATTAGTAGCTGCCAATGGTAGAAAGGACCTCAATTACTCAGTGCAATTAGGGCAGAAATTAAATATGACATTCCTTTTGTATGCATAAATACCACAAAAATGGGAATTAATTTACATTAATATGAGGCTAGGCTGAATGTCCTTTCAGTTTTCTTTTCTTTTTTCTTTTTTGGTACTGGGGATCGAACTCGGGTCCTTGCGCTGCAAGGCAGGTGGTGGAACCACTGAGCTAAATCCCTAGCCCTTCTTTAAGTTTTCTAGCTTTGCTTTCTTTCTCTCCACTACCATTATTTCCCTTCCTGAGATCCACACTTGCTTCAGGTAAGTGTCATTTTACCTGGAGAGCAGACTAATTTCTCCTAAGAGAAGGCTTGAAGAAAGTACAAAGTGTTAATTTCTCATTCATAGCAAAAATAAAGACTGACTGAAGAAAAAATATCTGCTGGTATGTTTAGGAGAAACTGAGATCGACTGGGTTAGGAAATTGGAATCACAATAGTCTTGATACCCCAGTTTAATACAGCATAGCACACATTTCTGGAAATAGGACTTGGGCATCCCCATGGGATTGCTTGGAAAACATGCGAGCATGGTTATCTTGAGAGTTATTATGTACTGTCAGGGGGGAAGCTGGGAATTGGGTGATGTGAAATTTGCTGGCTCAAACAACAGCTCTATATATCCACTGTCATTCAGAACAAAAGAAGCTACTGACAAAGCAATCCATCTTCAGTACTGAAGTTTGATTGATTGGTTGATCTAGTTGGAAGCAAAAATTGCTGCCAGTGAGGAAAAGGATAACCTAGGGTTCCAAACAAGGTTATTTTAGGATCTTAAGGGCACTAAATCATAGAATGAGATTTTTTTTTCTATTTACTTTCCAACTAGTAGAAAATGCTTAACAATCATGAAATATGCATTTTAATCCCAGTACTATTACCAAGTTGGATGATTATGAAAATGTGAAATGATGTCCTTGGGCCTTTTGTCTAAAATGAAAAATTCAATTAAATCAACATTGGGGCTCTTTGAATCATAAAATATAATTATTCTAGTTTTTGTAACAGATTCGTTACAGTGTTTGGCCATTTGAAAAAGATTAGCCATTGGGCATATAGCTCAGTGGTAGAGCCCTTGTGTAGCATGCATAGGCCATAGGTTTGAAGCCTATCACCACAAAGCAAACAAACCAAAGAGCTAAAAACCAAAAATAAAAAATACAGACTAAATTAAAACCAGCTTCCTCATTGTTTGCACTTCCAGATATCTGAACCATCATTTGGGAAAGAGTTTTTTTCCCCGTAATGAATGCATAAATAAATATTTGTCGAGTTGGTGAAAAATTCTTAACTTCAGTAGATTAATAGCTCAAGTGCTTATGAGTTGAAAATAAAAACAAGAGAAGATGAATAGCTTCTTTCTATTTGTCATTTGTGACTTGCTTAGTTAGTAAACTGAGCACATCCTGAGTGAAAGTGAGTAGAGTGACTGATTACTACCTTCTATGGCAAATGGCTTCCCCACTGTCAGAAGCTTGCAGTCAGCATCTATTGACACCTCGTAATCCAGAAGGGCTTTGTCCATGATGAAGGCATCTAGTTTCTCTGGATCATTCCTATATTTAAGAATAGGAGAAGAAATGGGAAAATGATACATTAATTGCTAGTAAGTGCTAGGCCTGACAGTTGGCTTTTGTTTAGGGGACAGAAACCTGAATACTAAGGGCAGTATAAGCTTGCTAGCTGCTGACTCAGCTTTCTTGGCATTGAGCTGCCCTGTAGCATACAGGCCAGGAAAATAGGCACTTATAAGAGAGCATGGTTCCTGTGGGTTTGTCTGCCACTGTGTTTCATAACTTTTAGTCCTACAACAAAGCTAGAGAAACTCTGAACTGAATAGTACACAAAGAAGGTTAAATCCTCTTATGTTACCAGAGCAACGTCTCTGTGTTAGGCTTTATATTCATTTCCTCCATAGATTTTTATCACTTGTAAAGACTGTGACATAGCAAATGGGAAACTGGCGCTCAGAGAAGTAAATTAGCATGGTCCAGTGTATACTGCTTGTAAAGGTTGCAGTCAAGTGTTCTCATTAATCAGATTTTGAAAGTTTTATTTTTGAACATGATCATAATCATATTCTTCAGACACCAGGTACTGTTTCTTATTCAGGAGTAAAAAAAATACTTAGAAAAGATCTTAAGATTTTTGGACAATAAGAAGTTATGGGTTTTTTAAATCCATGGAGTAGCATTCAGTAAGTGGAAAGCTTATGTAACAGATCTTAGCAGCCTAATTTATCAATCTGTTTCCAAAGATTCATGTTTCACTTCCATTGTAGTAGGTAGTTTAGGCAAGAATGATTTAAGATATGTGTCTCTGGGCTGTAACATTGAATTGGAAATGGACTAAAGTTGCCATTAGATGCTTTGGGCATCCTTGAAATTCTTCCCATTTTGGGACACGAGTGCAGAAGAGGTCCAGAGGGAGTATACATCTGAGACAGGCTAAGCTCTCCCTACAAAAACAGAAAGAAAAGAATTTTAAAGGGGGCTATCTAGGTGACTTCTTTCTTTTTGATCAGCTCAAATCCTTTTTAGAAAACTTTAGGACATACATCCATTTGAGAAAATTGTTTCTACTCTCAGAGTTTTCCAAACTTTTCTTTTATTAGTACATATGTGCAGTACATACAATTTAAATCATCCTGGGGAGTGTGTACATGTACATAATACAGCTTGGTCCTTTTTAAAAAAAATTTCTGTCCCTTCTTTCTGGCTTTCCTCTCGCCTCCTCTAAATCCCCCTTTCCAGAATGGCCATATTCAGAGAGTTTCGCAAAGAAAACAACTCTTCTGTATTCCATCTGGCCTAAGTCCTTCTTCTCTTAGAACCAGGAATAAGGCTGTTAAAATTAAACAAAGTATTGGCCTCCAATCTCAGAGGAGAATATGGTTAAAATCATGAAAGATTGAAAAGAGAGACATCCTAGACACATGTAAGAGTAATCACTAGGTAAGAAACACTTCTCTACATGGACGACTTTCTTTGGGCCACATATAGCTGTATAGTAAATAGGTCAACTTCTCTTTTTAGTGTCAGTTACAATTGTCTCCTTTTCCTACCCTTTCAGCAAGTAAAATGGACAATTCAAAATGTTATCCATTTTTCCCAGGGACATTTAAAAAACTATAATCAGGGATATTGTTTAAATTTAACCAAAATAAAAATGTCTTCCCGATTATTGGGAGTGGGAAGCTTCACAAAGGGTTGGGCATGTGAATTGTCTTCTAGGAGTTGATGATGCAAAATCTTAATGGAATTGTGGCCAAAAAATAAAAATCCAACCAAAATATGTTTCTCTAATCAAAATTTGACAGCCTCAGTAACAGACTGTTCTTTAAAGGAGCAATATAGCAACAAGTTGCCATTTACCACTATTCCACAAGTACTCGTGGTAGCAATATGATAATAGAAATAAAATATAGGTTCAGTTTGGTGTTTTGAACCAGTATTTCCTGCCCAGTGCCACTGGTATTTTTAAATACTACACTTGGCTTTGGGCAGCAACGTGCTATGATAAATTAGATCATAGTTAGCTATGATAAATTTCTGTTGCACAGGAAGGCAGAAAGCAATCAGCTCACTGACTCCCCTGGGGCCCTGAGTCACTGGTAAAGAAGTGGCTAGGTTTGATCCAGGTCAAAAGTATCTTCCAGACTGGCTAAATCACTGTGGTGGTTGGCAAGGCCTCAAGTTATTTCTCTCACTATAGAACCAGTCTGTCTTCTTTGGGACATTCATTTAAAAATACATATCATATACCACAAAAACCAGTCATACTAAGGAAATAAACATTTTAATTAGGATTAATTTATTGTCAAGACAGTATAGTTCTAAGCCCAGGGGGATTGGGATGGGAGTGGGGAAGGAAACCTGTCTTGTACAGAATTCTGGGGTAGTGCCTACTGTGTCAGAGCTCTGAGATAGTTGCCAAGGGTAACTGAGGGCTGTGGTTGTCTGGAGTGGTATCTATGAGCATCAGTAATTACTAGGTCGAAAGTGGAGCAAAATCCCAGAGAGGAGAAAGAAGGCATTACTGATGAGCTCTACCTATATTCCTATTTCACATCAATCAGTTAATCACCTAGGGAGCTTGTTAAAATGCAGTTTCTGATGGAGCAGGTTTGGGGCTTGACATATTTTTTTCTGTTTGTTTGAGACGATGTCTCACTATGTATCCCAGGCTGGCTTCAGGCTTGTGGTCCTCCTGCCTCAGCCCCTTGAGTGCTGGAATTACAGGAGTGCGTTGCCACACCCGGTAAGATTTTGTACTTCTAACTCATTCCCAGATACTAACTGCAATGCAGATGCTGCTAGAACAGGGACTATTCATTGAACATCAAGGATCTTCACTTCCTTTATGATTTCAAACTAGCCTGAAGCATTGGTTTGGTGCCAGAGACCTGATTCTAGTCCTGCCTCTGCCACTTGTTAGACATATCACCACGGGAAATTGACTCCTTTCTGGACTTCTTCATTGGTGCCTGCTTTTCTAACGGTTACTACTCTTCAGGCTAGGTTAGGGTCAGTACTAGGCATGAGAGGGACTTATAAGGTAAAGGCACTGGAATAAATGAATGCAAGTGGAGTGGAAGTGCTGGGAAGTGCAGCAGTGGTACATCTATTTTTTGTCACCTGCCGGTAGAGCCCAGCCTGTCAACCATTACTGTCTAGCTGGGAGCCATTGCTTTCTCCCTGATGTCTTATTCTCTCTCTCAACCATGCATTTGCCTGAAGGAAAGAAAATAGAAGAGGATCTGAGAGGCATGGAGTTCTCAACTCTGTGTCAGAGAGGGTCTCTAATGTTTCAATGTTCTTGCAGAATTAAAAGTGCCATTCCCTAGTACTTAAACATCAAATATAACTTTACAAATCTAAGAGCACACAGCTTCCTCTCCAAGCTCTAGTAAAAAGTCAATAAAATTGTTTAAGGGGGCTATTACTAGAGCTCTTAAGAAACACAAAGCCCTTATGTCCCATGAAATTCTTTATTCCCTTTCTTTCCTAGAAAAGAATTTGAGGCAGCAAGCCCTGGTGTCCACTGGGAAGATTATTGTAACTGACTATGGAGAAACTAGTTTCTTGATACTACACAATTGAAGGCATTGGGGATTTGGATGTCTGTTATTATCCTGATGCCATCAGGCAGGAGAGAGAGAGAGAGAGAGAGAGAGAGAGAGAGAGAGAGAGAGAGAGAGACCTTACCCTCATGCAGTGGTGGTTATTGTGTACCATTCATTCCCTCTTCCTAGGCAGACTAGACAAACAGACCCATAACTGCACTGTCCTCCTTTGCATTCAGCTTCACTGAATTACGGGCCCTGATAATCTTCCTTGGCAATGTGATTGCCTTTGATTGCTCCTCATAAATTCTGATGAGAAAGATGCAGGGATGAAAATCACAGCCTTCTACCTTATTTCCTTTCTAACAGGAAATCACTAAGATAAATTCCACTTCTTTACGGCAAACAGAGGCATTCCATGGGCTTAGGGATTCACTGTGAAGGAAACGGTTGCTTTGGGACACTTTATCCTCTGGCTACATTCCCTGTGTGTTTGATCATTTCAGCACCATTGTTTTTGCAAGTGATGTCAAGCCAGTAGTTTCTTCCCCTACCATCTGCTACACTCGTGACTCTACTGGCTCTTTAAGCAAAGCTACTGCCAACTTGACACTATGCAGGTAACTACTAATATCATCACATAATTAAATGCTCATGATTCTTTATGGACTCCTGGCTCTCACACAGTATGAGGTATTACTAAACACATAATGGGTATATTTGTTTGTCATTTAAAAAACCAACTAATACAACAGTAACTAAATGACTTCTCTTTCAGTGAGAACTTCAAGGACAGAGGAGGTTGACACTCACTTCAGATATTGTACTCCATCAGGGGTGGCTGGTACATTGTACCTTCTCATGTACTCATGCATCTCTGGGAAACTTTGCCTCACATAATCTTCAGCACTGCTCTCCCGAACAGTTCCAAACCGGAAGCCTTGGGAAGGATGATGCAGCTATGAGAGAGAAAAAGAAATGACTAATATGAATTACTCTTAGAATTGTTTTATTTTTTCTTTTTCCATTATTCTTTGGAATGTAGGGATAATTTAGAGCCTTCCAAAACACACAGGGCATAAACATGCACACAGACCTAGAAACATGTGCACAGGCCTATATGCAGACAGAGGAATATGCTCTGTCCTAGCCTAGCTTCCACATTAGGGTTTGTGCTATCTTCAGAAGCAACAGATGAAAACAACAAATGAAAAATGAAAAACCACTACTTTTCTTCATTTTGAGAACCTACTAGAATTATTTAGAGAATGTACAAATTGGCATTAGAATCAGGATCATACTGCAAATTGCATATTAAAGCATATAAACAAGATAGCAAATTAAAGTTTATAATCCTCCTTAGTGAGAACTACACAAAAGCCATATTAGAATCATGCACCCTGAGCCTCAATGTAATGAGTACATCCCTTTTATGTTTTTATGATGGTTTAGGTGTTAAGTCGTTTGAATTTACTTTTGACATTGTAAAATGGTTTCTTTCCCTTAAGTAATTGTATTATCCAATGCTGAATCGTGCTGATTATTTTCTCAAGAAAAATGGTGAATAAGACAGTTAGGAGCAACGGAGGAGAGGGGTAGCAGGTATAGACTCAGTAATGTCACATGTCTCCAGAATGCAAGAGCTCACAGTGAAGAGAGGTAGTGCTTTGGGAGCCCTCTGAGACTTTCCATCACTAAGGATATAAATTATAACTCAGTGGAAGTTGTAGAGAAATTTAATATAGAATCTAAAATTAGGATTACTTCAAATATAAGAATAAACAGGGATTGGGCCATGTAATGAAAATGGTCAAATAACTTATTGTCAGCAGTACTTTAGGATTATTTTCCAAAATTGTTTAACTCTTTGCACTTTCTTCTTCTTCTTCATAATAACATATTTTATATCACTGGTTTTGATGCAAAGACCATGGGATGGAAGCCCATGGATGGGCTTCATGAAGTTTACAAGCTCGCTGAGATTGCCAGCAATATCTTATGTAAATTATGTGCTTGTAATTTTTTCTATGGAAGGAGATAATAGAGATTTTAATAATTAGGTCTTCAAATTGTTTATAACTCCAAAACTAAGAACTCACCGAATATGGTAACACATAACTTATATTTGAAGATGAATTAGCTTTGAAACACACTAAAAGTCTAAAAATAGGGCCATAGTTAAATAAACTATGTAGTACTTTATAGAGTGTAATGCAATGTACACATCATATTTGTAAAGTATGCTAATAAAATGAGGCAAAATAGCTTTTCTATGTCATAACAAAAATTAAATGTGTGTATTTATTCAAATATTATGATTCCCTATAAATATTGTGCATGTACACATACACATGCATGCATTCATGAGCACACCTTGGTAGAAAATTTATCAAGGTGATACATGGTTGTTCCACAGGTATTGAAGTTATAGTACTTTTAATTTATGAATTATCTACAGCAATATACATAATATTTATGAGCAGAGAAAGCTTTGTTTTAAAATCATCACAAAAATCACTCATTAATTAATTCAATGTTTATTGAGAGGCCACTATGTACAGCTCTCAAAGTTATTGGGGTCACGAAGATAAATATTTGCAATCACTGCCATGTAGGAGCTCTTATCACCTGGTTGCTCATGATATTTCTTTGGATACCCCACTGTTGAGTATGTAATATGGTCTACCTTAGTGTTTAATGTAACTATCTCAGGTTATGCACAAAATCTAATGGTTAATGTCAGTGTAGCTTTAATAAAGCATAAACAATGATAACAAAGGCTAACATTTGAGTGCTTAAATGCATTATATTGTTTAATCTTCATAATGACTTCATGAGGAGGGAACTATTACTACTTCCTTTAAAGATTTATATACTAAAGCTCAGAGAAGGGAAGTAATTGGCATAAGATCATGCAGCTTAAAGGAGTAGGCTTTGGATGAGAACCTAAGTCTGATTTCAAAGCCTATGCTGTTATGTCCCACATTAGTTTGCCTTCAAGCTTGTGGCATCAACTGCAGTCAAGATATTTTTTTAGAAGGAACTCACCAGCATTTTCTTAATATTCTCCTTGAGCCTTCAACCCCTTGGTAATACTCACAATAGCAAATTGCTGCCCTACAGCTTGAACAAAGAAAACTTATCAACATTTTCGTCTATCTAACACTTATTTATTATTTAGGGCCTCGATCAAGATTTTATGTGAAGTCTGTGGCCTTATCTAGCTTTAGCTTCATACTCAAAGTGATAACAACAAAAATAATTAACTGCTTATTTATCCGTACAGGTACAACACCTTGTACATGCAGAATATGTAGTTTAGATATTATTTAAGGAATTTTTCACACTTTGTACACATTATCTCTTTTGATCCTCATAAAAAAATCTATGAACTCAGTATTTCTGTTACCTTCCTTTTATAGTTGAAGATGCTGAATATTATAAACTTTGTGATTTACCCAAGGTCACAGATCTGGTAAATGTTGCACCTGATGTTCAATCTGAGACAGTCTGATCAGACTTTCAGGTTTTGACCCCCGTGGAACACTGCTTCTAACTTGTGCCATTCTGACTTTCCAAGTCTGGTCATTACAAAATTTGTTATTTAAGTGCCAGGCAGTGAACTAAGGGCTTCAAACATTTATAATTCTGCAACATAGACATTATCTTCTTATTTTACATATTAAGATACTGAGGGTGAGGTAATGAACAAATTCTCAGTTAGCAGTTAGCAAGATTTAGCCTGTGCTACTTTCCCTAACCCGTAGACCAAATTTCACTCATTTATTTCAGTTACCTATCAAGACCCTTGGAATTTGGCAGCTACTTTATACCTGTTTTGTCAAGTTAATTCATTTTTGTCACTGTTTTCCCATTTTCTTTCATCCATTTAACTTGTATTCATTCTTCTATTCTCAGTCCAGTAGCTTATTATCTAGGTCACATTCTGCTTTCATTACCTTCTCAATTATACACACAGATGTAGTTTTATTTGTTATTGTTTATTATCTACACTCTAAACTTCTTTACTGAAGTGGAAATTCTATCAACAAGAATCATGTCTATTTTAACTCATTATTGTATTTCCAATAGTTTTCAGGATGTAGTTTTGCAACAAAATACTTGACGATTGATTAGTTCATAACTATTCATAATTATTTCTTGAACCCAGAGGGAGATAAGATGTTTATCATCTCACTTAGCAAAAGAAGTACTAACAGTATGACCTACCACTCTAGCCTTCTAAATGAGTATTCTTTTTGTGGGAAAAGAACTGTAAGATCATTAATTGAAGTGTCTGTTTTATATTTGCAAAGAATCTTTTCCAAGAGTTCATTTCCTTGCCTTAGGTGGTGGAATACTTTTATGGCCTATTTAGCATTTCTAGGGAAACTCTGCCATTCTGGGCCCCATTTTCTCTGTGGAGTGTCTCAGACCATCCTTCTTTCCCAAGCAATTTGAAGGAGCTTGGATCCAGCAGATCCAGGAGCTGGCCCTTTGTGTTTTTCCTTTTGATGACTTTGTGCTGTCATTTATTCATCTATTCCCAAATCTGCCTTAGGTGTTCTGTGAAGCAGGAGTTTTGAAGTTTTGATCGAGAGGTAAGTTCCTTTAAGCACTAACAAAGAACTGGAATCCAGATGAGAAAGCATTAAAAAAAAAACTTGGACAGTGTTCTTCCTCTAGCTTGGAGGTGTTTTACAAACACTACCACTTTTTTAGTTCAAGCAACCATGATCTCTGTCCTCCACACATTCCCTTTCTTTTTTTTTCTTCATTAAGTTTATTGGTACATTTTAGTTGTACAATATGATGACATTCATCATTAGGAATTTGTACCTTTACAACACCCATCTTGGTTCTTATTTTTTCCTGATTCCTTTGCCCTTCCTTCAATCTTTCCACCTCTCCCTATTTACAAAGGCTTTGTTTCCATTTTTTCCTTTCCCTTCTTTCCTTTCCCCTACTCCTCCCACTTCCTCCTCCTTAGACCTTTTCTTCCTATTTCACATTATCTATTATACATTTTGATCCTTATTTACAGTTTCAGTTTCTCACACCAGAACACATTCCCTTTCTTTCCTTCCAGCCCATTCAGAATCATCTTAGAACTCAAAAAATCTTATTATGTCACCCACTGACTTCATGGACCCTTAGACTAGATCAGGTCCCCTGTAACCTCCTCCTATTGTATCTATAATTCACATAGCACTGATAGCACTTGGAACTATTTAAGTCTGCCTTCCCTGCTAGAGTACAAATTTCTACAAGAGTGAGGCCCGTGCCTATCTCATTCATGTCCTCGTAAGTCCTCAACAAATGTTAGAGGCTCTTATTGCCATTGTCGTTATCATCATCATCATCATCATGTAAAAGTAGTGTTTATCACATAGGAGATACTTGGTAGATATGGGAATTATAAGTGAATTATCAGAATTAACACAAAATTCTCAGGTTCAGTTCATTACAGTTTTCATACTTTAGTCGCAGTTCATGTTTCTTTTTCCTCCTTAAAATAAAAATTTTCTGTTGTTACTTTAATTATTTGAAAATAAGTTATTCTTTTTAATTTCTGTGTGTGTCCTTTTAATGGAAAATAATGGGCTACTCAGCAATCACAGAATAAGAGAATCAGAAAAGAGAAAGAAGTGATGATGCAACACGGTGGGCCAGTATAGTCCATCCTGTTTATAATTCAAACAGCCAGGGATGTCAGAAAGCCTGCAACAAGGAGGGAGGATAAAGTGTACAAAGAGCGAAAGCATTTGAGCTGCATTACAACCATCCCTAGCAAGTCCCAGAAAGATAAACATTTCTTTAAAGTTTCAGCTAAATACTTCACCAGCGCTTCCAATTCTGTTCATATTTGTCAACCTCTTCAGGTCTTGGAGGGACTATTCAAGGTTAAACTATCTATTTGTACATTAATTGTTCAGCATTATTGAAATACTTAACTCCA